CCGGTCACCCGAGGGGGGCTGAGTAGGATTTGTTGTGTGTGTGACCTCACAATTGTAAACAGCGACGTCTACATTGCTTGGGCATGTCGTGAGAATGGCTGGTGGTCAGATTCCAAAAGATCTCCTGTATGGAGAATTATCACAGGGAAATCGCCCCAGAGGGAGACTATAGCTGCGATGCAAGGACATCTGCAAGCGGGATCTGAGGCCTTAGGAATGGACCTCAACAGATGGGAAACCCTGACATCTGAGCGTTCAGCCTGGAGGCATCACGGCCTCTCCCATTTTGAAGAGACCCTTGTCCAGCAGGCCAAGGCAAAGAGGCAGTCCTGAAACCAGCAAAATCAGGGAGCTGGGCAGGGGACATATTGGATTTGTCTTCAGTGTGGAAGGGATTGTCACTCTCAAATTGGCCTTCTCAGCCACACTAGACACTGTTCCAAGTCCTCCATACAGAGCATGTTACCAACGCTTACTCCCACCTAAGTCTACCCGTGTCACATGCGCGAGTCAGGAGGTGAGGCTGAGGAGCCTGACGCCGAGGGAGGCCTAGAAGGAAAAAACAACAAACCGGGCCTTCTCGGCGGTGGCTCCTCGCCTCTGGAATAACCTGCCTCCGGAGATTCGCGCTGCACCCTCGCTGGGTATTTTTAAAAACCAATTAAAAACGTGGATGTATAGGCAGGCCTTCCCCTCCAGTTAATTCCTGACCTCTTTCCTTCCTTTCTCTTTTTATTTGATTTATTTTGTATTTTTCCCATCTTGCAGAATCATTTAATTAATTAATTGTTATAAATTTCTCCTAAACTTGTTATGTTTTTATGTTGAAAGCCGCGTAGAGTGGTCGAAATGATTAGATAGGCGGGGTATAAATACAATAAATAAATAAATAAAATAGTGTCTTGAGACTGAAGGATGCCTAATTGATCGAATCGACCTCACAATTGACATTTAGGCTCTCCCTTTCAACTATTCCTACTGCTTAGTATGTCTTGGTTCATTTGGTGTTTCTTTTAAGTCAGTCACATCTGGAAGAGATAACTAGGAGGAACAGTAATATTTAGCACACCAGTACATTTATTGCTGAGGAGCTACCACTCAGACACATTCTTAAATCTCATTAACTTGGGGCAATGGACCAGTTGGGCAGTCATGGGGGCACTTGGTGATTCTTTTTTACAAACATTGTCCAGTGGAGATGCAGGGAACAAACACAGCTATAGTAAGTATTCTCAGCACAGACAAGATTCAGAACCACTGCTTTGACAGAAGGGCAGTATCACCTTCTTCCTGAATGCCACATGAATTCCATTTCTTGTCTCCATCAAGAAAGGTAGATCACACAGCATTAATTGAATGGTTGTCCTTGTATTTCCTGACTAAAAAATAAAAAATGTAGTTTGTTTTGAACTCATATTCTATTTTGCATCTTCATTCTGAGGGCTTTAGCGGGGACCGCCTTCCATATTATTGTGGTTAAAGCAGAGAATTCACAGTGGCAGGAAAAGAGGGGTGGGTGGGGGTTGAGGATACAACTGATCACTTGCCCTCAAGAGTTTGAAAAGTCACTTTTTGGGGTCATGATTCTCAGAAATTCCCAACTATTTCAGTTGGTTTAAGAGCAACATACTGATCACATAATCAGATGATCAGCAGGATCCACAAAAATGTACTTTAAAAATAAAATGAGTGCAAAAACCCTGAAATATTGAAAGTGATAAAGTACATTTGTTGCACCATCACCACAATTTCTTATCTTCCTTTGCAAGCATAACATCATTATATCCTCATTACCTCCCAAAAGTAATGTACTACAGACAATGCCATTACTTGCAACACATTACCGTATTTTTTGCACCATAGGACGCACTTTTTTCCCACAAAACGGGGGGGTGGAAAGTCTGTGCGTCTTATGGAGCGAAGAAAACAGATTATATTTTCCTCTTTTCTTCTCCTAAAAAATTGGTGCGTCTTACAGTATGGAAAGGTGCGTCTTATGGTATTTCTGAGTGCTGAACTTCACAAACGAATAACAAGCAAAAGTTACCCAAAACCATCTGAGATATTTTGAGATGCTCATCAGAACTTCCATTTGGCTCAATTTAAAATTCTTCACGTTTTTCCTGAGTTGCTGGTTGCATTCCTGGGGATGTTCCTCTTTACAAGGAGAAGTTGTGGTTCGCATATTTGTTTTAAAGTATGACAGCAACTGATGTCATATGGGAATCTGAATGAAACTATTTTTCTCAGCCATCCCTAAAGCTTTACTGTATTATGACTTTGGTCTATGAATTCTACCCTGAAGTATGCTTTCTGTATCTCACTTCCTGTGCAATTTATAGCACCCAGATATGATACTTTTAATAATCTGCTAAGGGATTTTTCCTACTTCCTTGAGGATTTCATTATTTTTCCCCTTTTTTCCCTTTCTTTATTACCTCTTTCTCAAAAGTAGCTTGTGAAAACAGACGAATCATATTGCAAAAGATGGAATGTAATATATGCCATCAGATTAGACGAAAAAGGCAATTTTGTCACTCTCGTGGTATGCAAAATGAAGTAAACTTTGCTATGTTGACACCATGACAGATGAAAATTTTCTTTCCTTTTGATAAGTTATCAGTCAGGAATGGAGTTGAGAGGAAGCAATGTGAAATGGACGTTCCAATAGGAAATCTTTACTTCTTATAATCGGAGTTGAGCGGAAGCAATGTGGTCTTTAGGAATGGACATTCCAATAGGAAATCTTTACTTCTTATAATGCATAGAGGACTACTGCTTCATAAAGAGAGTCTTTAACATATATGCGGTAGACACAATATCAGAGGTCCCTTATTTTACACATATCCTTTCCCTGTGGAAGGTGCTCCCTCCTGAGTTTTAGGGATCTCCCCTCTGTGCTCACACTACATACTACATGTTCTCCAACCCTCTATGTTGCATTTTGATGGGACTGGAGGATTTTCAGAGGGGAGAAGAAGTGGGGAAGTCTACCTTACTATCCATAGTGACTGTAGGTTTTGGCTGTTTTGCTGTTGCTAAAACCTTTCTGTTTGGATTGGGGTGAGGGTCACATGTTTGTCAAGTAGTTTTTCTTCAGTCACATAGTTTTTCTCCTAGGAGTGCAAGCAGAGCCTAGATAATTCTGTAGTCCACAGAGAATCCCTCTAATATTCTTAGGACTGTCTACAGAGGTTCCACTTAAGAAAGAACTTTCTGATGGTTGTTGTAGGTTTTTCTGACTGTTTGGCTGTGTTCCAAAGGTTTTTCTTATTAACATTTTGCCAGTCTCTGTGGCTGGCATCTTCAGAGGACAGGAGTTGGAACTCTGTCTGTGTTTGGTGTAATGTTTGGGACAGTTGAGTATTTGTAGCTGTGGGATCAGGTTTTTGTCCTTTTCTGGAGATTGGGTGATTATAGTGATCAATGTGTTTTTTTGTTATGGGTGTATTGTTGTGATAAGGGGGGGCAGATGGTCTATCACTGAGATTGATGGGTGCCATTAGCTAGTCTTTTGGATGGTCTATCACTAAGATTGATGGGTGTCATTAGCTAGTCTTTTGTGTGCAATGATCACTGGTCCTTGTGGATGGGTAGAGTTCATTGATCTTTTGCAGGCTGTATTTTTCCGTGCTGGGTCAACAAACTCTACCCAGCCACAAGGACCAGTAATCACTGCACACAAAAGACTAGCTAATGGCACCCATCAATCTCAGTGATAGACCATCTGCCCCCCCTTATCACAACAATACACCCATAACAAAAAAACACATTGATCACTATAATCACCCAATCTCCTGAAAAGGACAAAAAGCTGATCTCTCAGCTACAACTATCCCACACACTACACCAGAACACAACATTCTAACTCCTGTCCTCTGAAGATGCCAGCCACAGAGATTGGCGAAATGTTAGGAAGAAAAACCTTCGGAACACAGCCAAACAGCCTGAAAAACCTACAACAACCATCAGATCTTGGCCGTGAAAGCCTTCAAGAATACAAAGAACGTTCTGCTCAGTTTTTTTCCCTTTAGATTTCATTTTAACAGCACCTGAAGAAGATGGACAAAATTACACAGGAGGCTTCAGAATTCCAGTGAAAATTGGCAGCTGGTAAACACACACAGGCAGAGCTCTCTGATATGTTCTGCATATGTCTGAAAACAGCCACTCAGAGGTACAATTCACTTTAAATTTGGTCCACTATAGAGCAGACTTCCTCCACATGGCATTATCAGATTGCCTGCTTCTATAACAGTGGCAAGCAAAACGGGTCCTTCTAGATGTTGTTGGACTACATATGAAATCTTCTTTCACCATCCTCTGCACCAAGTTGGGTTTATAGAATCATAGAATTATTGAGTTGGAAGGGACTTATAAGGCCATTGAGTCCAACCCTCTGCTCAATGCCGGAATACAAATCAAAGTAGATCTGACAGATGGTTGTCTGATTTTCCTTTGAGTGTCTCCAGTGTTGATGGACTCACCACCTCCAGGTAACTGACTCTTTTGCTGTACTGCTCTAGCAGTTAGGATGTTTTTCCTGATAGTCAGCTGAAATCTGATGGGTTGATAGTTTTATTACAATTCAATAATATCTGAAGAGTGCATGCTCCCACTACTGTTCAATACAGAAAATGTGAGGTCAGTTTCCAATTTGTGCTGTTCTGAAATATATCTATAATGATAAATGATGTGTGCATTTGTATGTGTGTGTGTGTGTTCTTTTTAACATCACCCATGTGATTCGTCCACCTATAGCATAATTTATATTAGCTCCCTGAAATAAAATCCAGAGGAAAATTAGATACACATGCTAAGGCCCATTATAATCAGTGGGACATTAAGCATTTAAATATTGATTGATGGGATTTGGGCCTTCTTGATTTTCTTTAGATTTCTTGCTTCTGCCTGTCATTTTTCTAGAATTCTGTTCGTTAAAAAACAAGTAAAAGAAATGTCTCATGGCCTTCTTTGTTTTATCTCTCTTTCCTCTACAGGTTTAAGTGATAGTTGTCCATCGGGTTCCTATTCACAGAAATGAATAACTCAACAAACATAAGCTCTCTGGAGGATGTGATGGCCTTGGCAAGCCCTTATAAAACTGTTGAGGTTGTCTTCATTGTCCTAGTGGCTGGGTCTCTCAGCTTAGTGACCATCATTGGAAACATCCTGGTTATGGTATCCATCAAAGTCAACCGGCACCTTCAGACTGTCAACAATTACTTCCTTTTCAGCTTGGCATGTGCTGACTTGATCATTGGTGTCTTTTCCATGAACCTGTACACACTTTACACTGTGATTGGCTACTGGCCATTAGGACCCGTGGTTTGTGATTTGTGGCTGGCTCTCGACTACGTGGTCAGCAACGCCTCTGTCATGAACCTCCTCATTATCAGTTTTGACAGATATTTTTGTGTCACCAAACCTCTGAGTTATCCAGTCAAGAGGACCACTAAAATGGCGGGCATGATGATTGCAGCAGCATGGGTGCTCTCCTTCATCTTGTGGGCACCAGCCATTCTCTTTTGGCAGTTCATTGTAGGGGAAAGGACTGTCCCCGATGGAGAATGCTACATCCAGTTCCTTTCCAATGCGGCTGTCACTTTTGGCACGGCCATTGCGGCCTTTTATCTGCCCGTAATCATCATGACTATTCTCTACTGGCAAATATCTCGTGCCAGTAAGAGCAGAATTAAGAAAGACAAAAAGGGTGGGCAGAACCAGGATCCAGCTTCTCCAAGTTTGACCCAAGGTAAAACCACGAAACCAAACAATAACAATATCCCACCCAGTGAAGATGGGATAGAACATTCTAAAATTCAGAATGGCAAAGCCACTGGGGAATCGGTGGTGGAAAATTGTGTTACTACAGAGGAGAAGGAAAGTTCAAATGACTCCACCTCTGTCAGTGCTGTAGCTTCCAACATCAAAGAGGATGAAGCCATCAAAGAAGACGCCAGGGCTTCTGTCTCCCAGGTCAATGCCAAAGTGGAGAACTCCAAACTTACCTGCATTAGAGTACTTACTAAGTCTCCCAAAAATGATTGTGCTGGCTCAGCCAACACCACTGTGGAGATTGTAGGATCTGATGGACAAAATGGAGACGAGAAGCAGAATGTTGTAGCACGCAAGATTGTCAAGATGACAAAGCAGCCTGCCAAAAAGAAGACACCTCCTTCTAGGGAGAAAAAAGTCACCAGGACTATCTTGGCTATTCTCCTGGCCTTCATTGTTACCTGGACACCATACAATGTCATGGTTCTCATCAACAGCTTCTGTTCCTCTTGCATCCCTAATACAGTATGGACAATTGGTTATTGGCTGTGCTATATCAACAGCACCATCAACCCCGCTTGCTATGCGCTTTGCAATGCTACCTTCAAGAAAACCTTTAAGCATCTTCTTATGTGTCATTACAAGAACATAGGCGCTACAAGGTAAAACAATAATAATGGAGAAAAAGGGGGAAAGAAAGCTTCAAGTTTTATAAAAGAATGCCATAGCACTTTACGCTCTCATGTGAAATCAAGAAAGCTAGAGGACACACTGACAGGGAGGGGCAGTGTATCTGTGCTCCATCTCCAGTATCTGCACCTCAAACTTCACAACTTTTCTGTCAGAGTCATTCAGAGGCAGGAAAGGGCCGATAGGCCAGTTGAGGATATAAACTTGAGGCAAACCCCTGCTCTCCAGTAATCCCAATGCAGAAGGGCTTTTGAAACCATCCTTCTTTGGGCACAACCTCTGTCCCTGAGAAATTCTCCTGCACAAAGCCCATTTGGGTTGGCACTTTGTAGAAAGGGGAGCTGCTGAAAAGCATTAGTATTTCAAGAAGCAGGAGGACCTTGGGTGGGTTGTGTAAGTCTGTTCTTCTGGTATATGAGTTGCCAGTTTTGTTTGTCTATGTGTATGCTTGTATGAAGTTGGAGAGGGGAAGAAAACCCTTCAACAATAAATAGCCTACATGGAAATCATAAATGACTGGAAAAGAAAAACACACAGCAATCAATCTGTTTCATTATTTTAAAAAATGATAGGTCATAACAGCAGAATGGGAAGGATCTTGAAGTGGAGGATACTGTTAATCTTTACCTCTCTCTCGTTGCTTAGCTCTGTATCAGAAAAATAGTACTTTACCTCATAAAGGGCACAGTTTTGGCCAATCCTTTAAACACTCTCTTTTTCTGTTCAGTCGGTGGGACTTCGTAGTGCTGGAATTTGGCAGCAGTGCAAAAATTATTAGCAGTAATCAGCGACAAGGTGCTTTGTGTGAATTGATTCTTCTCCTCCGATGGGGCCAGCCAGATCTTGCATAACACTTACTGGCAAAAGAACCAATTGCAGAGGCAGAGGAAACCTAGGTGTCTTATTTTACCACTTGGTGCACCAGAACAACCATTTAAAGAAGTTAGGACAGGACATTTACAATCCATAATTGTATAGTCTATGATTTTCCCTGTGCCAAAGAATTCATGTTTCATTGGAGAGATCAGGTCATGTCTACAGTAGCATTTTACAAAGAATCCATATATTGCATGGGCATTGCAAAGCCAAATGACTGCGCAATTCTAGTAATTAAGGTTGTGGGACTATATTATGTTAATATGTCCATTATCTCATGGGGCTGCAAATTTGCTGGCTTGAGAATTCTTATATCTTCAAATTTGTACCACAAGGAAGCAGTGGTAGTTCCATTGCTTAGGTTCTCCCCATATCAGGACTCGGCTGTGCAGAAAATCTGAAAACTCGTAACTTGAGGAGAGTCAGGAAGTAGGAATGAATGGATCTGCCAATTCTGTCCCGTTTCCCCCCCCCCGTCCAGTTTCTCATTTTGTCAAACCTAAGACAGATTCATGCAAACTTTTCTGAATATTGACTTCAAAAATTTTGAGATTTTTGTTGAAATTCACAGGCAAAATTATAGACATTTCAGTTCACCTTTCCTAAATGTTTCCCCGATATGTGAAATTTTACCTAATTACTTGCGCTTCCCCCAAATTACTTCCCTAATATAGTATATTTTAATGTTGTTGCTACTAATATACATGTGCTTTGTAGACCTTCACTCTCACATATACTCATTTTCATACGCACATTTAATTAGAAAATTTCTTTCTGTCAGATCTGTTTTAATTTAGATTCTTGCCTTGAGCAGGTGTTGGACTCTGTGACCATATAGGCCCCTTCCAACTCAGTTATTCTATGATTCTGTTACGCAGTATGAGGAAGTGAAAATTTCAAATGATTGCTGGTTTGGTGATTCTTCCAGGTTCATTTACCACAGCAACAGGTGTTTTGGCAGTTTGGCGCCCTTCATCCTCCAGGTGCCCAGCACCTGGAAGATGAAGGGTAGGGAAGCCAGCATGCTGCCTCTGAGTGGGTGCCCACTGGAGGAGGTAGGGCTGAGAGGCACTGAAGCCCCGTTTAGCCAATAAGTGAACCAGCACAAACTGCCAAACTGGGGGTTCCTGCCCTTCTCCATAGCTGAGCTGTAGCTCCCATATTGGCTTGAAAGTGTGCAATAAGCACAACTTGGACAATTTTCTTTGTTGGGGTACTGCTCACAGAGTATTTGAAATTATAGTGAAAATGATAACATTTCCAGGCTCTGAAAATGAAATAATTTAGCCAATAAATGAACCAGCACAAACTGCCAAACTGGGGGTTCATGCCCTTCTCCATAGCTGAGCTGTAGCTCCCATATTGGCTTGAAAGTGTGCAATAAGCACAACTTGGACAATTTTCTTTGTTGGGGTACTGCTCACAGAGTATTTGAAATTATAGTGAAAATGATAACATTTCCAGGCTCTGAAAATGAAATAGGTTGGCATTAAATTGACCAAACAGAGAAAATTCCTTCCCTACCCCCATTAAGTGAAGAGTTAGGAGTTGGCCACTCCTGTTTTCAAAGTGGTCAAATGGAGATCATAGAATTATGAAGTTGGAAGGGACCTATAAGGCCATCATGTCCAACCCCCTGCTCAGCGCAGGAGGGAGTCTTTGCAAGTAAAAGCCATAACAAGTTATGTAAATTCTGTACAACAGGGGTGAGAATTTGGCAGATTATGAGTCACATGGGGCCCTCTAAGACTATCTTGGCACCCTCCCGTGTCTCTTGGAGGAAAACATTATTTTTCCACCGAAAAAGAGACAATCGTTTCTGTGTTTTGTTTCAGCAAAGCATCCGTTTTTAAGGAGTCACTTTTGGTTTCGTTAGGACGGTCCTAAGGTCTGGAAAATGACCCATGGATCCTTGCTGTTTGCCCACATCCACTGTAAAACATTCTGTGCTGGGTCTGCATGTTAGATTTTAGAGATGCTGGCAAGTCTTTCGGTCTGAGTCCCAAGTCAAAGTCAAAGTCATTGGTACCAGGTCCCAAGTCTCAGTCTTTGGTATCAAGTCCCAAGTCCCAAGTCCAAGTCTCAGTCTTTGGTTTCAAGTCCCAAGTCCCAAGTCTTTATTAAAAACAAGCAGTTTTCCCCAGAAAACAAGGGAGAGGCAGGTGGATTCTGAGTCCTAGTCAAGTTGTTGGTGCAGCTTAAGTCCAACTTAAGTCTCCAATGGTTTTACTTTACTCATCCATATCATCCTGCATACCTACTATCCTTCCACACATATGGTCTTCAGCTGCATAGAAGTAGGATCTGGCCTCCCTGTCTGTTTCTCTCCCTCCAGTAGTAAAGCAGAGTCTATACATGCCATTACTGTGGTGTCTTATTTAGCACCCAGAACAGGAAAGGCATTGCCAAGGAAGAGTTTAAAAGAGGACAAAAATGTGCTAGTTTACATGCATAGATACAGATTTGTGAACAACTACGATGGTGTAAGAAGTAGCAGACATCTCCACCATAGCAGGGCAGCCTGAGAGCCTTAGGACCTGCTCAATGTGCAGTCCATTTTAATTGGGCCATTCCAAGGCTCCTGCTTTGCTCTCTTATTCATTACAATGTACGTAGTATTGGGCAGTATTCTTCAAACTGAAGATGCTTTCATTTAGAGGACTTTCCCTGCAAAATATGATAGATGCCTACCGTTTATGACACAAAGCAATTGGAAGCAGGTGAGAGGGCAGCGAATAACATGATTTCTTCATCTTCCACTTCAAAGGCAAATGAGAATCTATGGAGAATCTATGGGCGAAAGCCTGCCACCCATCTCTTGTTAGAATTATGCTACTAATATAGAATCATCGAATAATAGAGTTGGAAGGGGGATTTAAGGCTATTGAGTTCATTCTCTGCTCAGAGCACAAATCCAAGTTAAAGTATGTCTTCTGCTTTGTTCATTCATGCCCTAAATCTAGAAAATTAGAAGAGGCTCCAAAAGGTTATTATTGAGAGAGAGAGAGAGAGAGAGAGAGAGAGAGAGGAAGCCTGGGCATATGTCAGTCATATATACTCCACCACCCAAATTGTCTCACAAAATATCTATATTACAAGAAGAAACAAATCATTCCAAAGCTGATCCATTTGGAATTCACCCATGTATCATCACAGCTCTTTGTTCTTCCATGGGTCCTTTTCTAAGTGGCACAGAACGTCTATGAAAACAATACACCTTTTTCAAGGGAAAAGATTTGCAAATGTTGGCAATTTGTTTAGCAGAAATGAAATGGAACAAAAAAAAATCTTATTAATTTCTCCTGCTAAAACAAATAGCTATAGTGATTTCCAGCATGGAGAAACCATATTGTATTTGCCTGCTTTATTGCTGTTAAAGATGGGGAATCTGACAGGGGGAAAAAAGAGGAGGTGGCCCAAACTCCGCACCACAAATATGGTTGAATAAACAGGGATTCAAAGCTAAGTTTTTAAGAACTAAGCATTGAAAGGCCTCGACAGATGAACTGGTCCCACATCTGCACTCAAATCCTTTCTATTCTAAATGTTTTTTAAAAAGTGAAAGTTGGCAAGTTCTTATCCAAACCAAACTGAAACAAATCTCTTATCCTTATCTAATGAAATAAATCTGTGGAATGACCAGAACAGCAAGAAGGTAACATCTGTAGTGCCTGAGGGTGTAGAAATAGGCATGGAAATAAATGAAAACATGTACATGTATTCACCGACTACATTTATCTCCTCCTCTTTCCTCCAAGAAGCAGTAGGAAGTGTATATGCTTTTGTCCTCTCCATATGATCCTCACCACCATCTTGTGAGGTAGGTGAATCAGTTTCAAGTCTCCCTATAAGTTTCACAGAAAGTTGGGATCTAAACTGTTTAGATCAGTGGTCTCCAACCTTGGGCCTCCAGATGTTCCTGAATTAAAACTCCCAGAAGCTTTCACCACCACCTCTGCTGGCCAGGATTTCTGGGAGTTGAAGTCCAAGAACATCTGGAGGCCCAAGGTTGGGGACCACTGGTTTAGATGGCTGCCACTTGGGGAGTTCAGTTTGCATTTACTTCCTAGCCTGGAGGTGCACAACTTTGGCACACCCAGTAGCCAATTTTCTGCATGCACCTCATTGAAACTGAAGCATGAGGGTTCCGCACCAACCAGGGCTCCCCCACCCACCCAGGTTCGATCTCTGCTTTTAACACAACAGTTGCCTTTCCAGAGGCTTCCCTGTGCTTCTTGTTTTAGCATGGAACTTGATTGGTTTTTTCAAAAACAATGCCTTGAAATTTGTCCTAAAACAAGGTGCATGGGGAACGTGCTCCATGTTTTGAAGAAAAAAATTGCCTCCTACTGGCTCACAAGTGTAACTGGTTTTAGCATGGACATTTCATCTGACATGCTTTGCCAGTGAAATTTGGCAAAGACAGTATTTATGTATTTATTTTATTTTTCCATCTTTTACCCTGCCAATGTAAATTCAATGAATCTACTCTGGATGGCTTACATTCCGAATATAAAACAAAATTTAAAACACACAATATCAAACTGTAGGGACCTCAAAAAACAGCCACAAAATCCTAGATGGCCTGAAGGCTGCATGTTGACTATCCTTTTCCTCCTCTGTGTCAGGAACAGAGAAATCACACTTAATTTAGGACCCACTGTGTTTTCTCAGTCCTCCAAAGGTATCCCAAAATGACACCTAATATATAGTCTATGCATATTTACTCAGACGTTTCACTCAGTTTGTTGAGACTTGCTGTGGGATATGTATGTATAGAGTTGCAGCCTTCATGATTCTCTGGACAAACACCAGTTTCCATATCTGATCTTTCAAGCTCAGCCCCCTGATCCACACTGGGAGCAATGTTGTCATCACAAACAGAAAGGCAGTTGTGCTGTACCTCATTTGGCGAATATACAGTATATCTCACCTACAGCTGTACATATTGAAGGCAGGGTGTCATTCAGTATTCATCATCCCCAAAACTTGTAGTTATTGTTCTGCTCTCTTGCTTGACAATTAATCAGACCTATGTGATGATAATTCCAGATTTATTTACCCTTCATGCCTCTAAAAATCCAAGCTTTTCTCACTCAGCCTTTGAAATCTGAGTGCTTTGAATTCAGTTGCTGGAGTGGAGGTGGGGGGTACAGAATGGATTAGAGCAGAGCCATCGAAATAAATCCCTTCTGGCTACTTAACAATTTCATCTTTCAAGCCAAGATTAAGTCATTGACAATCTCTTGGGGACTGCTCAATTTTGCATGCTTTTCCTTGTTGTGTAAGACCGGCATGACGCTTCATATTGGCGCCATGTCATCGTCTCTTTTGAAGTATGCTTCCATTGGATGTAAATGTAATTCTTCCCTTTTTTTCAAAGTGCTTCTGAGCTTCCCTTGTGTCACCTGACTCCCAAATCAGAGTGGCAAAAACAATTACTTCTCCCGACTTGCTGCTGCTTCTGGGTGAACATGGCCATGGAATAAAGGATGTCATTCTCAGCTGTAGTAACAGACTCTACCTTTGGTTTCAGCATCAATGTAATTATTTAAAAGATGTTGGCTTTCTGATTTTTCATAGAATCCTTGGGTTGAAGCCAAACGTAGCCATATCTAAAGCAGCAGACCTATTGAAGTTCATGATCATTATAAAATTAAGTCCCATAAATGTCATATGCTCTAATCTGACTAAAATCTGGATCTGATTGATTGATTGATTTAAACTATTTTTACCCCTCCTTTCTCCTTGAAAAGGACCCAAGGCTGCAGACAACAATGAAAGGCAATAGTTAAATTTCAAAACAATGAGTATGCAATGGTGGTTAACATCATTAAAAGACAATATTTAAAATTATGAACAATTAATAATGAGGCATCTTACATCATTAGTAGGCAATATTAAGGCAAATATCAATAAGTATACAATTTTTTAAAAATGCTACTGGGAGAAATGGAAAACACAAGTAGTACTAAAAATCCAATTAAAACAGTAATGCTGAGCGATCTATCTAGGATTCACACACAGGTATCTGGTTATTGAGGGAAGGCTTGCCTAAAGAGAAAGGTCTTTCCCTGCTTGCAGAAGGATAGCAAAGATGGGGCCAGACTGGCCTTCTGTGGGAGGGAGTTCCAAAATCTGGGAGAAGCAACAGAGAAGGCTCTCTCTTGTGTCCCCAGCAGATGCACCTGTGAATGTGGCAGGACTGAGAGAAAGTCCTCTCCTGATTCATGGTACTTTTCCTTGCATGCAAACAAGAAAAA